CAAAGTCAAATTGGACCTTGTGTGCCTCGCCTTACTCTACATATATGCTTTTTATTAAATTTACTTTAATTCATCGAATGTTACTTGAACCTTTTAGAATATACCTTACTTAGCAAAACAACGTTTTCCGGGTCAGCTAGTATATATATATATATATATATATATATATATATAAATCTGAATATATTTTATAATTTATAATAAAAGCGTAAAGTATGCGTTTTACACGTCATGGCCTGTTGATTTTTTTAGTTTGCAGAGAAATGATTGTTGTATTTTGCTTGTTAATCGAAAAAATAAGGCTGTACATGTTTTATAACATATATATATATATATATATATATATATATATATATATATTTCAATGTATATGTATATATTAATAATGTACATTGTGTAAAATCTAAACAAATGTTAACGACCTCATGCAAATTGTTCATCATCTGTGCTGTTGTACGAGTACATACTTTCTAATTAGTATTCTCTGACAGTATTTTTCTCTACGATTTATATTACATATTTATAAATATGTATATATATATATATATATATATTATATAAATGTATGTATGTATATTTATTATGATATAGAGAAAATTCCTTGCGAGCTTACACACTGGTTTAATTGATTAATTGGAAAAAATGTACAAATATGTAAGTTCTTCAACCATCCATCCAATTATTAAATAAAAATCAAAGTATTTAATATTTTTAATATAACATAATATCGTAGAAAAGAATAAATAAAATATTATAAATTGAATGCAATATAAAATAAAACCAGAAAAAATATTAAGTTAACATGAAGGATGAAAATAAAGTATATTATTAACTAAAATTAACTGTTCGGAAGTATTTTCATTTTATTTATAATGGTTGTTACTCTGTAGAGGGGTTGGAAGATTTGTATCGGACTTTATTATCTCACTTCTAAAAAAAAAGTCCGCGTAACAACATATGTAATCTTATATATAAAAATGGAGCTCTCGATCAAATGATTCGGTAAAACTCGAAAACGGCTAAACCGATTTGGCCAGTCTTAGTCTTGAAAAAACCTCGTGCCAATCCAGAGATGGTCGGAAAGGTGAGATAATATTTCAAAACCGCGTAGAAACTTTACATTTTTAATTTGAAAATTTTTGTAGAAGCGTAATTTAAATAAAACAATGGACGGTGGCTAATACGTCAAATGTCAAACGTTTTTGACAGATGTTCAATTACGTTTAGTAGGATATTTTACGTGAATATTATTTAATTATGATTAAATTGTAGTAAGTAGTTTGGTTTGTAGTTTTATTCATACACAAAAACGTTATTAAACGGGCAGCAAATGTTACTAGACACTCAAAATATCAACTTTTTTGAAATGTTAATATGAAAATGCACTTTTTGGCATATTTTTCTCAAACACGGTACTCTGAAAGATCTCATTTGTATAATTATATACTCATTGGTATTTATAAAACATTTTCTAGGTTATATTATTTTTTATTTGTGTTATTTAAATTCAGAACCTAAATTTGGTATCGATCAAAGGGACATTTTGTCGAATAACATTTTCCCAGTTATAATTTCCCAGAATTTATCGAATAACAAATAGTAATATATGAAGGTCCGGGGTTAAAAAGGTCCACCACAGATGTGTCAAAAATCAGCAAAGTTAAGCATTGTTTAACAACAATATTTGAAAGTAGAGGAAAAAAGATGTATAGCCAGCTACAAACTTATTTGAAAACGATAATCTTTTAAATGAGGGAGATAAACGGTAATCTTTGAAAATCCATAATAAAAGTATTTTCTTCCGTTGGTAGTTTTAGCATTAGTTAAAATGTAATTATTTTGTAAAATACCTTTAAAATTATAATAAGGCTTTAAACCTTATGCCACCTGCCCGTTACAAGTTACCCCGCATATAGGATAAAAAGGTCTAGATAACAAATTTTTGGAAGACATCAAAAAGCACATTTCTACAATGATGAAGTAGCTGGCAGTTTTACTGAACGTAGTCAGATAATTGTTTGTTTGAAATGTGTTTTTGTTGTGATATAATTGGTTTGATTTTTATAATATAATTAATATTTGCTCAAAGTCAAATTGAACGTTTGTACCCCGCCCTGTTCTACATATATACTTTTTATTAAATTTACTTTAATTCATCGAATGTTACTTGAAACTTTTGAAAAAGCAGGTCAAAGAAGAAATACTTAATTCATTTTCCATCTCTCCTCGCAGAGATTTGAAAATTTTGTATAAGCTCAGTAGTATTATTTACAATTATACACAAAACACCGAATCCAAAAAGAATGTGAAAAACTTGAAAGGTAATCAATAAGCCGAAAGACCAAAAAAGACTCGGAATGGATTATACGATGTTTTCTATAGAAAGTGTATAAAACTTGCAGTTTGATTGTATTGATGAAATATAGACAAACTAATGGGGTTTATAATACCTAATTGTATACAGCATTCAAACAACACATCCTTATGCACTTAAAGTATTAATATTTTTGATTCTCTAGAAATGGTTTAGAATATACCTTATTTAGCAAAACAACGTTTGCCGGGTCAGCTAGTATATATATATATATATATATATATATATATATATATATATAGATATATAAATCTACCACCACGGTGCCTGTCTACCAAAAATAAATCTCCTTTTATCTGTCGCATATGCATATGTGCATGCTGTAGGTACAAATACAAAATTTCTAGTAGATACCGAGGATGAAAAAACATCTGTTCGGCCACAACAGACGCAACAGAAGAGATTAAACAAAACACATTTCCATACATCCATTTACACATGTTTACTACAAGGAGACACAAAAATATTTAAATACGAATTTCAAAAAAAACTGCTAATGATGAAATAAAAATTAAATCCATAGTAACAAATATTATACAGAACAATTCATATTTTTTAAGAAAAATTTAATTGACATTTTACACATACTAGTTGTTTTTTATTACTTGACAATACTTCGGATTATTTAGTCCCTAGCAACAAATGAAGAATGTCAATTTTTATTCTATTTTCATTTGTTTAATAATTAGCAACTAAATAATTATCAAGGTTGCTATAAACAAAGTACTGTATAGATTTTGTCGTGAACAAAAAACCATCTACAAAAGTAATATTGGAAATTTTGATATAGATTAATTTAGGAGAATAATTATTAAACTTTTGTTAAATAATTAATTAATTAATCGTGCGGTGGAAGATAGGAAGTTTCATACCTTTTGGTAAGTTATATATTTGTATTTTGTATTACCAGTGGAAATAATGTAAAAAACGTGTAAATTGTTATTTTTCAAATTCCTATTATTATTGCCGCAAAATGTTAACAAGTAATCATCAAATTTTAATGGGCAATTAAAAATATATTAATCAAACTAATATTTCAATTATTTGTTCATTTACATGAAGTGTTAATTTTTTACTCTGATGATGAGATGAATCATCAAATGCTCGTAAATAACTTCGTTACATAAATTTGTGTATATATTATATATGAAAAACAAATTTCAGGACATTTAATTAACTAAATTTATTAATTTGCCTTGATTCTTAAGCTTACTTATTTTGAAAGAAAATAGGGCATTATTTTTAATAAATCTTTGGATGGAGATAAAATTCATGGTTCTAATGAACATACTAAAGTAAAGTATTATAGGCCTACGAAATGGTTCAATTATAAAAATATACTCAAAATTAAATAATCTGCAAATAGTTTTTTCACATTATGAACCATACAGCAACTCAGAACTAGTGGTGCGTGGCATTGTGCCTTGAGGCAAATTGCTGGTACTTCTCATACCAAAAACTACAATTTTTAAAAAAAAGATTCAATTTTTTTTTAGAACTCTCAAAAAATCGATTTTTGATATTTTTCAAACTTTTGCGAAGAATTGATCTTTTTGAAAACCTTGATTTTTTCAAATTTTGAAATATTTTGAAAATTTTGAACTGTTTTTCAAAGCATTCGCGAAACGTTAACTGCGTAGAAACAAAATATCGAAGCGCGTACGCGCCTCGACGCTGTTTAACGGATAAACATTGGTACGGAATTCATAGAAAAGTGAACAAATCTGTTATTATTAAAATATTTATAAAATATGTGGTAATTTGATGTACATATGTCTAATGATCATTTTGGTCCGTGAAATGGCATTTTTTGTCACTTTTTTTACTAGCTCTCCGAAACCGCTAGACCTGCCTTCCCAAAAATTTCATCAGTTCTTCATTTTGTCAATGCAAATAAAATGCGTTTTGAAACATTTAAATCGGACGTTCCGTTCTCTTAAAAACTGCGATATCATTTTTGGCACTTTTTGCCCCATATCTTCGGAACGGCTAGACCTGTCTTTGCCAAAAACTAAACAGCACGTCTCCTTATTAATACGAATCGAATGTTTTTTGAATCATTCAAATCGGTTGATCCGCGTTCCCGAAATCGTCGACAAAAATTTGTATCCGCACTCACACACACACACATACGCACACACATACATACATACATACACATGCAGATACATCAATTTTTTCTAAGGTATGCCGAAATGTTCAGAAACCTCTGAAACATAAATTTATATAAAAAATTTCATTTTCGATTTTTTTGCGATTACTATAATTTACCCAACAAAAAGTTAATTAATATATTGATTACTTATTGATTAAACCGATTATTTACGCATGTCACTTTATAAACAAAAGCTAAATAACTGAAGCAAATTAAAAATGACAATTGAAACCACATTATACTTCAATTTAACCTGTACAATATTAGAAGCAAAACTTAAATTTCCTTTCGCTAAATTGTAAATTAATAACGACCATTAAGCTTATGCAAACACTAATGTTGACATATGTTCGTCACAACATTTGCACAAGACATCCAAAAAACCAAATCAAACCAATAAACCACACACCATACAACACACAAAACCATTAATAAATAACAATTAATAATACAAACATAATTCCTTACTACCTTCATTAACACGTCCCGACTTCGGTAAAGTGTCTCGAACTTCTGTCATTTTGTTTCACCATAGAACTGTATCAGTATCACCACCGTCGACGACGACGACAACAAACATTGTCCGTATTAATAAATCATCGTATTAATAAACCATTTGTTGTAACCATTAACACTATAAATGGAATCCGATTAACTGTAAAACGAGTGCCTATCTTTTTTTTTTTATCTATTACAAAATGTTTTCACACGCACGCAAATTACCAAATGACATTCGCCGAAGACATGCCGTAACGTTGAAAGTCGAAACGCAACTGCCGCGTGAAGTTGACGAGGGCACGAGTTAAGGTTGAAGTGTTGCCAGAGGTGGAAGTGGATTAGTGGGGATTTTAGCCGTTGGTATTTGAATTTGTAAATGTAATGTCTGATGAAACAGATTAGTGGTGGTCAACGTGCCTTAGGCAAATTGCTGGAACTTCCGTATCGAAAACTAATTATAACTTGTGTGTGATGGCATCGTGCCTTAAGCAAATTGCTGAACTTCCCGTACCGTAATGAATATTCGATAAATTTTAAACGTTTCCAAATATTATTACAAATACTATAACTCTCATTATTTTTGCTATCTTGAGATATATGAGTGAGCAAATCATAATGTAAATCATAAATCAAATTTATCCCCAGAACATTACAATCGTCATTTCATTTCGAATTCAATTTAAAAAAAAATAGTTGCCTGATTTACACAAAATTCAAAAAAGTGCTCCCGTACAGTCACAGTCTAAACGCATTTGCAAAATTCTGTGCGACATTTTCACTTATACTGTGCTTTGCTTGGCGGCATTTTCACATTTTTCAATAGTTTTCACAAAATTGGAAAAGTGCTGCATACATAAACAGTCTAAACGCACTTGGGTAAACATTTGTACCAGAGTGGCGCTTCGACTGTGCTTAGCATGTGTGATTTTTGAATTCTTAATCCAAAATTACAAAAAAAAAATTGAAAAAAAAATTGAAACAATTTTTTTTTCGATGGCAATTATTTTGTAAAAACAAGCAGAAAGTTCTTTGAATCATTTAAATCGGACGCTTAGTTCTCTCAAAACTGCCATTTTTTTAACATTTAGCTCTGTATCTCCGAAACCGCTGAGCCTACCTTTGCCAAAAACTAATAACCACTTTTCCCCGTCATAACGAACTAAATGTTTTTTAGATCATACAAATCGGATGATCCGTTCTCTCAAAAACTCAATTTCTTTTTCTGCACTCTTTGCTCCGTATCTCCGTAACGGCTGGACCTGTTTTTTGAAAAAAACTAATCAGCACATCCCTATCAATAGAAATCGAA